TGACATTTGTCATTGGAAATTGCACCTTTACATAATCCATCTTGGTAGTGAAGCCATAATACTACTATGCTAAGTAGCCTTTACAAGTATGGTCTGGTTAAAGTTCTTTGTTCCTTTCATTTTAATGCAATGTGCCATTGATTTTTTTAGCCCAAAAAGATTATCACTGTCTATTTCCAACCAGTCTAATTTAAAGAGTGCTCCCTTTTGAAAAAAATGTTTAGTGGGGTGTGGTGGCGTACACCTGTAATCCCAGCACTTGGGAGGCTGAGGCAGGAGGATTGCTGCAAGTTCAAAGTCAGCTTGAACTGCATAGCAAGACCATGTCTCAAAAAAGAAAATTTTAGGGTCATGGATTTAGCTCAGTGGTTCCACTGCCTGCCTTGCAAGCACAAGGTCCTGAGTTTAATCCCCAGTACAAAAAAAAGAAAGAAAACTTTAACCCAAAGAGAAAATGAGTAGTATGGTCTGGTTTGTTATTTCATAGCTTTCCTCGTCAGTTATTACCTTTATGATCTAAGAGTTTAAAATGTTAGCTACCTTTATATGTATTGAATTTTTATTTCTATTCATTGTAATGTTTCCTTTTAATAAAACCAATATAATCTTATACATAAACTAAAAGACTTTACAAATTAGATGTAGCATTATTTTCAAGCAAGAATTTTGTGTTTTCCCTCCTGCTTCTTATGTCTCTTGTTAACTTACATTGAAGTGGTTATTCTGGCCCGTGGTTGATGACTGGTGAATGTGTCAGATGTCCTTTGATGCTTGGCTCTGTTGACTGTACAGCCTTCGTTACACAGATAGGGGCCTCGCCTGTTAGGAATGTTGTGGCTCAGTAAGAAAAGGGAGTCAGATACAAAGATGAGGCCAGAGACATCTGTATAATAATAACTACATAAATCGAACATTATACATCAGCGGCTGTGTGCGTGCCATTTTGTCGTGGTGTAAGTGACTACTCAGTCATGGTGCTCCGAGAGTGAGAAGAAATAAGTTCCTCATTCTCTAGGGGAAATGGTTTTGCATCATTCTTTCAAATGATCAAGAAAAGAAGGGAATTTAAATTTAGCAAGTGTTGGGCCAGCCACACAGGAGCCAAGAAAGGTTTTATTCTCCAATATTACATCTCAAATGGTTATATAAGTCCCTACATGACACCCTCAGTTTGCCTCTTGGCCTGAAAAATATAAAAATATTTGCTATCTGGACCTTTAAGAAACAATCTATAGACTGTTGGGATGAACATCAGAGCAGTTTGAGGACATAAGGTAAACCTTATTCATGAGACTTTGGAGCAAAGATGAACTTTTATTTTGGCACCGGGGATCGAACTCAGGCCCTTGCGCTTGCTGAGGCAGTGGTGGAACTACCGAGCCAAATCCCTGGCCCTGAGCTTCTTAATTAGAATTTGTTTTTGCTTTAAAATATTCTTGTATTCTGCTTAGTAGTTTTCTAGTATAGGGATTATACACTCAAAGATGTCTTGCTAAAGCACATAGAAATAGGTACTTGTATTAAATTACAGAATGCTCTGGTGCCTAGAATTGTAAAGCAAATAATTATATGTGAAATAGTAGAAAGCAGAATGGACAATTGGAGGAAAATGGGCAAAAGAGGGCTGGGAAAGCCATGTAACTTGCTCCTTGTAATGGGGAGGAGAAACCCCATTATAGATGTGTAATGTGACACAGCAGTTGGAGACATCGGTGTGACAAGTTTACCTTTCTGTCCCTTACTGGGAGAATTAAAGAGCATGATTTTTAGCCAGGTGTGGTGGCACACACCCCTGAGCCTAGGCTACTTAAGAGTTCAAGGCCAGCCTGCACTGCAAAGTGAGACCCTGTCTCAAAACAAAAAAACCACAATTAAAAAAAAAAATTAAAGGCCAGGCATGGTGGCGGTTGCCTGTAATCCCAGCACTCGGGAGGCTGAGGCAGGAGGATTGCTGTGAGTTCGAGACCAGCCTGGGCTGCATAGTGAGTTCCAGGTCAGTCTCAACTACATAGTGAGACCCTGTCTCAAAAAACCAAAATAAATAAATAAAATAAAAATTAAAGTTTCTGTTTGCTAGGTACCATTTTGGGGTGGAGGGTGGGAGTGATGGATATCAATGAGATTAACTAGTAGTTAAAATTGAAAATACCAGCTGGGTGTGGTGGTACAGGCCTGTAATCTCATCACTCACCTGTAATCTCAGCACTCGGAGGCTGAGGCAGGAGGATCACTGTGAGTTTGAGACCAGCCTGGGCTACATAGTGAGTTCCGGGTCAATCTCAACTACATAGTGAGACCTTAGCTCAAAAAACAAACAAACAAAAAACAAAACAAAACAAAAATTGAAAATATGGAAATCACCAGTAATTCCACCTAAGTATTCTAGCTTTTAAACCTAACTACGCAAACTCTCAGCATATGATAATGTGGCTAAACTCCTTGAAAGCTTTATTTTCCCCCTCTGTAAAATGGAGGAGTCAGGAGGATTGCATGTGAGTCATGTTCACACAGGCTTAGTTGTCCGTGGTTGGCAGGTGAAGCACACCTGTTAGGCACCATAACAAGCTGGTCCCACTGAACCAGAACGCCAGATAGGCTCTGGGATTGGGAACACAGGGCCTTCACATGGGAATACATCCCCAGCCTTGATTTTTGTTTTTTATTTGAGACCAGTTTTAGCAGGTCATCTGAGTTGCTCAAGCTGTGCTGGAACCTGTGATCCTCCTGATTGAGCCTCCCAGAGTGCTAGGATTACAGGTGTGTGCACCCTATACACAGGCAGCATAGTAATTAACACTGGCCATTATGTCCACTTTAGCCATTTAGGTGCATTTTCTTATCTTTTCCTCACACAAGTCCTTTCAGGTAAGTTCCCGTTTTTCAGATGAAGAGCAAAAGGCCAAAAAAATTAAGTAGCTTGCTCAAGGTCACACATTAATACCTGGCAGAACTAGGTTTCAGGCTCTTTCAGGCCACCTGTTATCTGTTATTGTGCTTTGTGTTAGAAGTGTGAAGGTACCCAGATGCAGATTCTCAGATGTGGCAAGTAACCATTCCTAAGCTCTGGGCCCATACTTTGCACACACAACCCATATGTGCCCCATTTTCCTGTTTCTCAAGAGAAAGTAGAAAAACCCAGATTTGGGCAGGCCTGTCCTCCTCTTTGGCCAGCTGAGGCAGGGGGAGCACTTCGGCCCAGAGGTTTAAGGCCAGCCTGGAGAACATAAAATTAATGATGTATATCAGTGTTCCAAAATGAATCTTTTGTTATTATTAGTATGCATTTTTTGTTGTGGTTGTTTTTGTGTTTTGAGACAGGGTCTCACTATGTAGTTCACACTGCTCTGGAACTCACTGTGTAGCCCATGCTGGTCTTGAACTCACAGCAATCCTCCTGCCTCTCCTGAATGCTGGGATTACAGGCATGCGCCACCGTGCCTGGCAGTTTTTTTGTTTTTGTTTTTTGAGACAGGGTCCCACTATGTAGTTCAGACTGCCCTGGAACTCACTATGTAGCCCAGGCTGGTCTGCCTCAGCCTCCCCAATGCAGGGATTATAGGCGTGTGTGTGTCACCACACACACGCCTATAATTATAATTAGTATGCATTTTAATTTTTTTTCCAAAAACAAAACTGTGGTAGTGTACACCTATAACTTCAGCACTCTGGGAGGCTGAGAAAGAGGGTCAGCAACTTAGCAATTAAGTGAGATCCTGTCTCAAATATAAAAAATAAAGTCTGGGGCTGAAGTTGGTGGGAAGGTCCTGTGTTTAATCCCCAGCACTGAAAAAAAGGGGGATGAAATAGAAAAAGAGTGAGAGGCATGTAGCTCAGTGGCCTTGGATTCAACCCTTAGCACCATCAAGAAAAAGAATTCCAGGCTGGGTATGTTGGCATGTGCCTGTAATCCCAATACTCTAGGAGGCTGAGGCTGAGGCAAGAGGACTGTAAGTTCAAACCTAGCCTGGTCAGTTTAGTAATTTAGTGACACTATCTCAAAAAATGGACTGTGGATGTAGCTCAGTGCAAAGGTCCTAGATTGAGTCCCTACTACTGAAGGGGGAAAAAACCCAAAAAGCAAAAAACAAGATTTGTACCAAAGTTTCCCAATTTTTTTTCTTTTTCTGGTACTGGGGATCTAACTCAGGACCTTGCACTTGCAAGGCAGTGTGGTGCCATTGAACTAAATCCCTGGCCTTAAAGTTTCCCAATTTATAAGTGTTGGCACAATCTGCCCT